GGGCGCCTAGTGATCTAGAAGAAGGCTTGGCACCGGTGCCCGTCGTGCGCGATACAAGCCTTTTCGCGTCAGGCGAGTGCCATATTCGTGTTCAGCGGGTCAAACTACCCTAACACAAGTTTCTAGCCAAATCTGGCATTTTGACCTGATTTCGAAAAGTGAAGCATCCATGGGGTGCAGTTCAGTTCATGTGTACACCTATTCAGCTGATACATTCTCCCGTGCAAAGCGTCATCTTGCCATTTCGACGCATTCATTCTGTTACTGCTCCACTCTCGATTAAAAGAAAATCCCGTCCGAGGTGAAGCAATCTGTAAGAGACTGGTCCCAGAACTACTGGTGACCATCATTCGATGAACTGCCTTTTTAAAAATTTGGTCAAAACCTCACATTTGGCTAGAAATCTGTCCCCAGGGATAGTTTTGCTCCCTGAACACGAATATGACACCCATTTGGCGTTTTAGTGTTTTCTAGACTCGAAAGAAATATTCCTTAAGAAATGCAAAAAACTGCTCTTCTCAAAACCAGAACCTCCATGGCACGCCAATGAAGCAAGCCCATTGCCGCCATGCTGTCAATGACAGGTAATGCACTTCACGGCTATTCACGTATATGGATGGCAACCGCACTAGACTCCAGGTCCTTTCATTCGAAAAAAACCTTATAATTTCATTCAGAGAATCGTTCTGCAAATTTCGAAGGCAGATTTGAAATCAGCGTTCAAAACACGTTCCGTGATGTACGTCTCGTACAAATGGCCCCTTCGACCTAGTGAACATCCCTAGTGAGGAACACTGTGTTGAAGCTGTTTGCCACATGAGGGGGGGGGGCGTACTGACGTTGGAAAGAATTTTTGCTAATGCGACCCCTGCCCACCTACCCACTTCTTCGGTACGATTCTCTTCCACCACTTCTCCTCCGGTACGAGTGTGACGGACAAGAGACTCATAATTCGCCGCGCCGTCGCGAGCGGGACACCATCTGGCGATAAGCGCGGGAAATTTTCAATGTGGGCGTCAACCGAAAATGGAAGGGGATTCCGAAACGTGCGTTAGTTTTTCGACCGGGGCAGTAAAATTCGTGGGATTTCGTTGCATTTTTTTTATTTTTTCCTTCTTTCCGCACGCACACATATCGCGTGGTTTTGGCCATTTCTTAAATCTTCTATTGTTGTCACAGGTGACGATACGAAGCATTGACAGCACCCCTTCCTGTGGGACCCGGGCGATTCTATCGTCGGCAAGTCAGGTCACGTCGCGCACATCGCGTCGCGGCGTCTCGCGCGGCGGCGCGGTGCGACAATTCCGGAGTTGCATTACCGACATACAAGTGAGTCTCGAAGATAGCGTATTCACAAAC